AATTATTGTCGAATAAAGGAGCACACCAGTGTCAGAGTAAAATTTGAGCACATTGGTGTATTCTACTGTGGGCGCAGAAGCGGTTCTGGAGTCTGGGGATGGCTGCTGAGTGCCATTAGAAGCAGAAACTGTCTGCTGCATGGTGCCTGCTACAGCCAGAAGCTCACGAGAGTTACTCCACTCAAGACACAGTGGCCCAGATAACCCAGTGTGCACTTGGATTGGTGAAACATCATCAAAACTTTTCATCAGGAAGATATATCCATTCTGCAGACTCACTGCTAAGATGAAGATGCGGTCATCTGAAAAGCAAAACAAAATAACATTTGCTATGGGACTGACGAAAATTCTGATGTAACGCGAATATATTCTAGGAATAAGCTAGAAGGTAATATAAAAGATGCAAATACCTGCAGGAGGAGAATACTGCCCTACCACAGGTTCTGTCTCATCCCCCTCTTCCATCTTAAACTTTTCACAGGACCAGGCCATCATTGTGATTCCCACATCATTACTCAACTTCACCTGGGACACCATGGCCCCATGAACATCCATCACGATGATCTGCCCTGCTGTTGTTCCAAAGTACACCTAGACATGTTGACAAGGGAAAGTTATTCACTGGCTAGCACTATAGACAGAACACAAACATGTCAAACTGGATACTGGGAACGACCCATTCTTCAAGTGCCTGAGCACTGCGGGTCCCAACTTTCCGTTGCCTTGATCTATAGACATTCGGTAGGACTCCTTGGACGAGGGATCGGCCCGTCGCAAGGCATCTACCTGTACACAGGACAGCACAACACAGAAAGACGAGGACAAACATCCATGGCTTGAGAGGGATTCAAATCCACGGTCCCAGCGGCCAAGCAGCACAAGGCTCACGCCTCAGACCGTGCGGCCACTACGGACCCACATGTCAAACTGAAGTAATTTATTCCCACACATTAAACTTCAACATGCCACTCTTACATGATTAAAATAAATGTGACTAGAGGAAGGATATGAATGACTGATGATGTTTTCTCTGAAATACAGTGTCAGTTAAATGGTATGGGCCTGGCCTAATTTCAATTACTGATTTCTTCTTATAATTTAACATTAATGGAATCATGAGTTAACAATTATCCAAATGAGATGAAATTTCCTGCTATGTTGAATGATTCATACATAAAACAGTAAGAATTCTTTTCCCTACCAACACACCTTCATTAACAAAATTAATGTGTTGAGTATATTTTAAGTAAATAAACTTGATTTATTCTGAGAATTAATATTCATGATTCAGTTTATGGTTCAAGTGCACGTTTATTAATCCCAAATATAGGTGATTCACATAAGGAATGAAAACCAATAAGGAATCATGACAGTTTTAATATTTACTTGGAAAGATGTGATAATAAGCTGTCAGGATTCCTAGTCTTCAGACTCCAAACAGCACAAGTTCCATATAAATTATTTAACTCAAATTAAGTTACAGAGAATCAAAATTTTTAATTAACAGATGCAGAATATGTTATGAATTGTTTCAAGTTATAGTACACTTTAAAATTTGCTGTCGGTATGTTTGGTGTAAGAACACTTGAACTTGCAAATTGCAAAGTCATCTTCAAACAGCATTCAGTTCAACCACATTTCACTTACTTGTTGGTCATCAGGTGTCCATATTCCACACGTGATTGTGGAGTCCAATGTAAGCATGGAAGACCAATATCGCTGTCCTGCCACAGAACCAACCAACACAAAACCATCCTGCAAGATGGAAAAAGTACGATCATCATCAACCACGAGTACATTTTCATTTCAAAATTCTGAAGCATGAAAGTCCTCACAGACATTTCTTGAATAATTACGTACGCTGCTCTACTTGCCTGGTAACAGATGAGTGCCATGCGACCATCATGTGACCAAGAAAAATGTGTGACTGGAGTATTCCGATCATTGATGAGTTCAATGCTCCACCTGCCCTCATATTTGATCCAAACAAAGATAATTCCTGAGCTGTCACATGACGCTAGTTTCTGATATGGCTCATTCCACTTCACCAAAATCACCTGAAATAACAATCATTCATGTAATGTGCCAAGTTCATCATGGAGTCCATGAAGACAAGCAAACTGGCCTCTTTCTTTGACAAAATTCACTTGGAAGAATGGCACGCACATATAAAGACCCCGATTTTGTAACGCGCGTTAAATTAAAAAGACTGCAATGGGCGGGGCATATTCAAAGGATGGATGGCACGCACATACAAACAACAGTCTATAAATAGTGCCATTTTTTGGAAGAGTTCGGCGTGGATCGAGAAATTGATTTTACCCTCAGACTTCTAGGCAAAACTGTGCTCATCAGAACTACAAATAATGTGGTCTGGTGGACACAATGGCTGCACTATGGTTAATGTAAGGGGAGTGCCACAGCTCAGGCGGTTAGTCGCTGGCTTCTCACTGCAGAGGCCCATGCCAGATTTGGCACCGAAATAGGCATGTCTTCGAGTCTTTTGATTTTATATGTGTGTATGTGCACTGTTTGGGGATTCAAATGTCATGAATAAATGACAGACTGATTGGCTATCATTTCAAATCACTTGATAACAGTGGGGTTAAACAGATCGTTAAAAACTATCAAAGACCTGAGACCAGAATTGAAGTTCCGTGATAAAATGATTGTGCATATTTGCCTTTACCACTAGAATTCTACAAATAAATTTGTTCAATGTTTCTCCAGGTCTTACGTATACAATTCGTTTCATAATTCGGTTAAATGTATCTGAAATGATATATTTGTATAAAAAACAAATGGGTATCAAAGTCAACGAAGTAAGCGAATTTGCAAGAAAGAGTAGCTTCTAACCGTATGTAGTGTGAATACCTTTACATCAAAAGGTTATACAGCGTGTTCAGAATGAAGCGATGCCTTGGATGCGCGAGAAGGATGACAAAGCTCCTGGCTTATAAGCATCGAAAGGTCAAGTCGTATGTTGTTCCGAACAAACTGTACATATTCGTCACTTTCAAAATATGAATATAAATAAAGTTCCGGTGACCAATTTCGTTCACGGTCCTTCCAGGTTTGAAATGTACAATGGGCATTCGTAGCTGATTCAGCAGTGTCTGAAATAACAGATCTGTATCAGAAATGAATGAGGTCGGTAAATTCGAAACGAAAAATTGTTTCTGACTATGAGTGCGAATAGTTTTACAATACTACATTAAACATGTTTGCCAATGTCAAAACATAAATTCATTTACATTAGTAATTTCGTTTACAGTCTGTCTAGAATTTAAGAACACAGTTGGCTCTACCGTCGAGAATATCGTACGCCACTTGTTGGACTTATATTCTAAATAGGATGAGAAAATTCAAAGTGCAATTTCTTACTGCCAAGCTCATTCAGATAAGAAGACATTGGTAGTTACAGTATGGTGATTTAAAAAAGTTAAGTCAAGAGTTCGCATACAGCTCACGTAGAAGATAAATATTCATTAAGTGGTCGAGACATGCTTTATTTTAGAATCGAAGTAGTGACTGAACTCTTGGAACTGGAGCTCCCTACGCTTTATATTGGAGACACTTTTATAATCTTCACACAAGAATACCAGATAGCGGCGATGGAAATTTCGTTGCTCTAATGAAAGAACAGAGACTGTCAGCATACAGTGAATTTAAGCCCCATTATGCTAGTCTTTTGTTCTCGAACATTTCAACAACGGGCAGAGAAGTTGACGATCAATGAGCGTATTGTTTCGCCAGTAGCTACTATCAACCTTTGTTAACGTAATCGCTACTTTATTCTAGTCCAGAACCATTTCAACTGAGTAGGGGATTGGTCTATTGAAGCCCATGGGCTAATATTGTGTCGAAATTGGTTGTTTATTACAAGTATACCGTAACTCACAAGCTGCAGCCATTAGAATATTTAAGAAAAAGTAGCTATTATGTTCTTGTAGTTTCTAATATTCTGTTTCTCAAAGAATGCTTGTCATAATATAAACGAAAAAGATATTATCTGCATTCTTGGCTGGGTTGCAGGTTATTATACGTGCTTCAGTAATACAAGAATCCTCATACCAGCAACTAACATCGCATATGAAGAAGTCCAGAGGAATTAAGTACATCAGAGTATTTCGTAACCAGATACCAGGACGAAATAACAGACACCGCCTCTCTCAATTGTATCTCCGTGGGGCAGAGTCCTCCTTGAGAAGCTGATAATCACTCACTTGGTATAAAGAGGAGTTATGTTAATAAATGTTAATATCTGGCTTTGTTTACCTCTGTGTTGTGTTGTCACTTAGACCTGCTGCTACGAAAAGTGCACAGCATTAAAATAAGTTAAAGTGGGCCACGACGCATGTACTTGTCTAAGGGCTGTTGTGGACATCTGAATATCAAATACGGCCTCTATTCTAATCTGAAGTGTTAGAATTTATAAGCCCTTTTTTTACTATCGATTAATTTAAAATGTCTAGTTTTTCGGACATGACTGTTTGCCGTGCTACTGAGGCAACTTCTCCAGCTTCGGTGCAATGCGGAACAGTCTAAACGTAGCGAAAAAAACAGTTATTCGTCATGGCTTTACACAAAATTAAATGGTACGGGAATAAGGAGATGTTTATTATGACAATCTTATGGACACACACTAACTAATCATTCAGTTCACATCACACAACTTGTTACTGTGACTTTCATCAATAGACTGGCTATACGCTGGATCAATCCCTAGCAATTAAAGGTATGTTCCTCTTCATTATGGCGTCCCAGTCTTGCTACATAACCTATTAATAGGTGCCATGGATAAAGTGACCGGAATGTGAAGCTAACCTTTCATTAGTGTAGCTTTACTTCCATTCTCCGTACGTAGTGACGCGGTGCATCAGGCAAATTTATCTTATTGCCATTTTAATATTATTCTCTTATGTCAATATCGGTCTTCTAAGTAGCCACCTTCCTAGAGGTTTTGTCACGGAATTTCTGTACACCTAGATGTTTCTTAGACGCAATTTCGGAGCTATATAAGCAAGCAGCCTCTAATACGTAACAGTTGCATTAGGAGATTACAAATCACAAATTTCCTCCATCAGATCTCTTAGATTTGAACATGTTCAGAAGTAATTTATTTTAAAATGACTGTAATTTGTATGCTTTTTAATTTCTGAGTACAAGACCAAATTTCACATCCATACCAAGTCACCAAACTGAACAATGTTCATGACTTTGTAAAACTAATTGGGAGTGGTCTTTTCATTGCCCGATATGAGTAATAAAGTTGCTTTGTAACGTCCTCTAATCGTTCGTGTTTGGAATTAATTTTGAGCAAGAAGCTAGTGTAAAACATTGCTAATCGGTCTGTACCTTCTGCTTAATGGCCTATATTACGCAGTCGCTAGCCAGTTCGATGACTAACAAGATATTGCTTTCAAGCTCATTAAAGCTTCTTCCAGTATCTGCCACTGTTGTTTATCTTTTACTTTCAACACTCTCCCGTTTGTGTGACCAGAATTCTAGTCAAATGCCCATTTTACACTCCACAACTTTGGAAAGCATGGACCTATTGATTTTCCCTGTGTTGAGTGGGGGGGAGGTCCTATGCCCTGTGCTATACGTACTACCATTAGGTTACTCCAGTACTGTCAAACCCTGCTAGTCCGTAACCCAACAAGCAGGTTCGCTTGCTGTGTTGCCAACTGCAAGGGGCAGCTTTATTCTTACAATGCTATTACGTTGAATTGAGGGAAGATTCTCTACAATTAACAGGAATATTTTACAAGATTGAAAAGGTGAACGTTTTGGAGTGCACTGACGTTCCAAATATGTTCACGCCACATAACGTGGGGCATTATTGCACTATGACTCAAGGCCATTCTTGCGCAAAAATTTGTTGCAACAATACCCTTAGATCTTTATAGCATTAATGTTGCAGCAAGGAAGGTGGAATCACAGGGGTATCCATGCCTGGTGCCAAGGCAGGGGAGAGAAAACTCGTGGGGCAAAGTCCTTGAACCAAAAATCGCTGGGGGGTGAAGCCCCAAAGAAACAAGTATCCTGGTGGTTGGTAAAGCCGCAGGGTGAAATTTAAAAAAAATCCCATTTGGGTCTAGTCGTGGAGAATTTTCTGGGGGTTTCCCCAGGCGTTGCAGTCCCCGGAAGGGTCCTAACTCCGTGGGTGGTGAAGCCCCTCCGGGGTAGCCCGTGTCCTCCTGAGAACTAAATGATCTAACTTGATATGGTAGAGGCAAAGGAATGTCCAATCCGGCGAAGGCAAGGCCATGGAATAACAATATAAATAGGAATATCCTTACGACGAGATATGCATTTATGTGTAAAACGTTTATGAAAACGCTTGTATAATCCTGTTGAACGTGCGTTTGCGTGCTAGCAAAATGCCACCATTAAGCTATACGTTCTATTTCCCTGTAATAATGAAATAATTCTCTTTAACCAACTTTTCTACTATTATCATTCCTCATGCGAGTGGAATCCCAAGAGTGACAACACAAAGGCGCGCGATATTGCAGACACTGGGAACAATAAATAAACTAAATTTCTGCACTGCCTTCCTGGTCCCTAAAGGCAATTTATTAATTCTCTCCCTCCCTTCTTCACCTACTTATTTATTTGTGTCTTTGCTCTTGCCGTCTTCCTTTCATTCCCTATTGTAATTTAGCTTTCATAACTCCCTAGAGCAGAAATGCCAATGACACCTCGTCAATTACTTTAGTATAGTCTAAAATGTAAATTTAATGTATTAAATGGATTAATATTAGAAATATTACATTACTTTTTGATACATGAAAGTTAAAATTAATGTGGTATTTGCAGATATCAGATATTCTGGTCGAATTTCGAACAAGGTACCTCCAGTATATGAAGGAGTTCTAACCACTCGAGTGCGACAGTCAGTAATTAAAATTACGTTTATGTTTCATTCTGATGTCTAAGATGGGTATAAATGTCATAAAAGGGCGCATCTTTACATATAACCCCCCTTCTTGAATGTGTCCCACCCCATGACGCGGATAAATTACGACCGCCTAATACACGCACTTTCTTCTATAAAGTCCACACGAAACACGCTCATCTGTATTTACAGAGCCCCCTCGTTGCAACGGAAGATGGCAAGGGCGGCGGTTCATTGGGGCCACACGCAGACTTTAATCAGACTCAGAAAATCACTGAGGCAGGGATTTAAAAATCATATACCTTAACTTCGTGGGCACAGCGAATATCATTCGTTATCCTGGTCAGTTCTGGGACTAATTTATTAAAATATTTCGATAATACCCGGATATGAGCTAATATATTTGTACCAAACAATTTGGTATTTTACTGTGTAAAAAATAATATAAGTTGAAAGGTTTTGGAAATAAATTGCACTGGGAAATATATGGATCCAAGATGGATTACGTGACTGAAAATATGAAGAATTATCTAATGATTAACATCGAGATATTTATCAAGTAGGATTTGTGATACGGAAATTAGAACTTCAAGCAGAAAACTACCAACAATTAATGCATGCGGGTAATATATTTAAATAGAAGTTTGGTGAAACTTAGCACGTACCAGGAAACACAAAACTCAAATACAAGTTAGGTAAGGAAATCCTGGGAGAAGAGAGATCCTTCATCTAGCCTTCAGCTCCTCCTTGAACTTGTCATATTATTATGTATTTTCTGAACTCGTTCATGTATAAATAAAATATCTACTGTACTCAGTACCTCTGAGACATCAGTCAGTTTCCACGAGACTACATGGCGCAAATCCCAGACGACAGTTATCTTTAGTGTTAAGTGCATGAAGTTATAAAATAATAATGTACTTGGACAGATTCAGCTTTTGAAACAGTTTGTATCTGCGTGGGTGGTAATTTGATGAATGGCTGTATCTGCACGTCTTCTGTCGCATTGCTGGGGAGAGGTGTCCGTGGGTCTCGCTGGATTCTGCTTTGTGGAAAAGTTGTATCCAGACCTAAACCAATATTGATTCTTTTACTTTTTCCTACCGCAATAACAGAGTACGAGAAGCACACTTGTGATCAAGTGCTGTATAAGTAATTGCCCGCAATGTTCTATCAGGTACAGTCGGTAGAAACAGCGATTACACACCATGCTCGTTACTTACAAGTTTTCCTGCGTGGTTTAACAGAGCGGTAATGCGTTTCAGAAACACGAGGTCCGAATATAGACAGCGAATCAAACGCCGTGATAACTAACAGCAAATTATTAAGATCTGAAGTTTTAAAACCGTTAATACCACAGTCAGCCATTAGACAAACTTGTTAGGTTGCGAGAACTGAATTCATCTACATTCGAGAATTATTTACAAGACAGACTGGAACATTCGTCTCATTATTTACTCAGAAGTTACAGAAAAGTAAATTAAACTTTATTTAAGCCGTGTTCAGTTTCCCAAGCTTGTGGTGCAGCCAACGATGGTCGAATATTCGGCTCTTTTGTGTGTCATCCCGAAACAAATTTAAAGTAATTTGATAGTGGTTTCACGAAGTTTGGTACAAACGTAATGATAATAGAGACAAGAATAACTTCACACTATTTGTACTGGTATTGATGCCACATCTCTCAAATACGTGTTATTTTTTTTAAAAAAAATTGTCATTATTATGTGTTATTTGCATAAAGTACACAAAGCGAACACATAAGGGAAGGTGAAGTCCGTCTGTCCACCCATAGGAAGCAAAATAATGGTGCGTGATGCTGCCGACGTTAATGGCTGTTCTGCATTATACAGATGCAGACGCACAATCACCATGGAAACCGAGTTGTAGGGGAGGCGGTTCTTGATGATGCAGTGTTCCAGGTGGTTTGAAGAACACGCAGTGTATGAATGGTGGGCTCTACACGTGATGTAATAAACTTGCAACCACGTTTATTAAATCGGGTTTTTAATCTTTAACATACTTGCGACTGAAACGTAGAATATTACAGTGCTGACAAAATGTAAATGAAACAGTATTTCACAATTCATTACTCTTTTTATGTGTACATTATGGATGTGACCGTTTCACTGTCCGTCATGTCGGAATGTTGATCTAATGCCGTAGCAGCATTCTTGTTTTTTCCTTATTCTACCCTTAACCTTTAACCTATCAACATTCTTGCGAATCATTTTCAGAATTTACATTAAATTACTTCGTCAGCCATGTTGATATTTCTAAAAAGAAATTAATAAGTACAAATTGGGATTATCTACAGTAACATGACGTCCGTATAAATTTTCACGAAAATCCAATTTTACGGAGGTCACATACAAGAATATACGGACACGATACCACAAGCCTATTTTTCCTTAAAAATAAGGCAAATAGACCAGAAATAACAGCAACACAAATCTATATTTGGCTTTCTGTTCTGTTGCATGAACAACTGAATACTTATTACAGCAAAAAACTGAATTTAAAATTCCTGTTCTCTCTCTCTCTCTCTAAAGAAAATTGAACATCAAAAGATTTATCGAGTACTTGCTGCCTCGTTTGTCTTCCTATATATGTTCCCTCAAAACCCTGAACGCTATTCCATGAACACAAAATTGTTCTCCTTGCACACACTTCTTTCTAAATGCCTATATTTCGCCCTTTTCTCTACGTCGTACTAGACTTAAAATTAATGATACTGCTTTCTGTAACTGGATTACTGACTGGGCTTCCCAATGTAACAATGAAACTGACAACAGAACGTTCGTCACAGAGCAACGCTCCATTACTGATGACGTGACCCATTGTTCAGCCGAACTGCCAGGTCATCAGACAACACCCCTTACGTGTAAACAAAGAGAATTTCGTGCTTCGAAATTTATCTGCATGACCTTTGTGATGTTTCACCCGTAAACCACGTTCCACTGCGAGTCCACTTTCTGAACTTCGAGTAGAAATCCATAATAAAACTGTCTGAGTGGGGTGCAAATCCTTACCCACTCACAATTGATGGACTTAAAAATTGATTAATTACGAGCTGAAAATCCTTCCAGAGTTAACCGTCCAATGATGGTGACTTTAAAGAAGCTCGGAAATCGAGGAATTTATTGAAACTCTTGAAACTTAGGTCTACAAATGAGGAAGAATTCTGGAGTAACTTGCAAAATAAGATTACTGGTAAAGCAATCGGCTTTTCGTGAGGTAAGAGGTTTGGGTGAAGAAGAGGCAAACCTCTTCTTCAAAAAGCTTTCCATCTCCTATCTAAAGAAACGATTTCAATCAACTCCCTACAAAGTAAAAGCTGAACAAATTCTTTAGTCCGTTGTTATTAAAACAGTGAAACTTTTAATTTTCTGTCATCCTAACTCCCTGCACAGCCTATCAAACTTTAGGAAGCGTGAAGCAACGTTACCTCTTTTAATACACTGCAACTCCATGGAAAAGCTGACAGTTACTCATCTGATAAAAAATGTAGCTGCCTGTGTTCTCAACAGCCCAAAACCTGGACATTATTTTGAGCAAAATGAATCCAGTCCACGCCTTCACATCTGCTTATTTAAAATCAAAATAAAGTTCCCGTCTACGCCGACATCTAATCAGATACTCTCTTACATTCAGACTTTCCGACAAAAATTTTGTATTGATTTCTCGTGTCCCCATGTGTGCTACGTGTCTTACCCATCTCTCCTTCCTTGATTTGATCATCCAGAGCTATTCAATCTGATATTTCAAAACACTACAGTCGAAAGTTTTATTTTAATGCCAATATTAAGTAAGTTAAAGTTATTCAAAGCTGAATAAAGTGTTTACAAACGAGATATCTCGTTGTTAACGTTTAAAGTATAAACCTATGACACTCTAGTGTGCAGCACGTGAAATTTGTAGTTCGTCAAAGGAAGCCATGTGGGAACAATAATTCTCTTTATCCTCCTTTCTGCTTGGTACTTTTGTGTCGACAACGCAGTAATACTTGACGAATAAGCTCTATGCTTATCGCTGCTGGAATGCTTCTATAATACACATAAATGGCCTTTAAAAAACATACCGGCTTCCAACGTGGATGCCCGGGTTCCATCGCAGGGCAATCCGTTTATGATTATTGTCTTATTAACAACTGGTTTCATCCGGTCAACTTTCGAAAACGCCGAAGATCAAAGTATATATAAAAAGGATTTTTTTACAAGATTGCGAATTTCGGTAACTTCAACTGAAGTTGAATGTAATTGATTCGTGGCCTAGGCATACAGGCCTACCTAGGACTGGGAAACAAGAAACGCATGCAGAATTTTAGTGAGCAATCGTCTTAGAAAAGAGACGACTGGAAGACCAAGAAGGAGAGACTACAAGATCAAGAGAGTTCTTTTGGTGATGTGAAAAGAAGAATTAGACGTTCTGTATTTCGTTACGACTTTCATGAATGAAGACACATTGCATTTTTATGGTGTGAACAGAGCTTAAATATACCGTTTGTTACCAATAAAAACCAAAGCTCTGTGCTCGCAACGTTTTGTGTACATCGATTATGACAAAGATAATCTTAAACAGTAAATAATTCTGAAACAGAAAATATCAGCGGTAGTTCTTCGTTTAAAATAACGTGAAAAATTTTGTACTGCGTGAGATTTCAGATTCTCACGGCATATTCTGGATGGAACTGATTCAGGATGGTGTCCAATGGCAGAGATTCGTGGAACCTTTGGTTTCTGGTACCAAAGTGTCAGAAAGGCAGTGGCTTGACATACCTCTGATCGATGCCCACGAAGATTGTAGTTTGTTCTAAGTGGAAAGTCGACGGCCTTCTTGCAGTGTGACGTGGTAAATGTGACACCGACAATTCCTCGCACGTTGCCCGTTGCCAACCAGCCTTCTTGGTAGTAGTTCGTACGGTTCAGCTTCCAGCCTTCATCCTATAAGAGAAGAACTTCTTGTATTATTTAACCCTTTCCATTCAGCGTTCTAATTTTAAAAAATATTCTTCCGCTAGTGAATTCCCACAACAACATAGTTAATATCGGTTAACATTATAAATAATTAGCTTTAACTGCTTAGTGACAGCTTAAAAGGTTTCCTTCATTAATCTTCACAGAAGCCAAATACATCCAGACAGAAAGACGTGTTTTAAACGAGATTCCTCATGCGTAACACGGAAAGGAGTGATGAAAGTCCAGCTACTACTATTCAGCGTCGGTATGCATTAGATGATGCACGCTGAATTGAAGAGGATACACAGGAAGTGATTGCGGACTTTTTTTTGAATTTGTTAGCTCAGAATTTTCTTGAAAGGGATAAAGAGAATGAGAGTTTGTTATTTTCGGTATGAGAAGGTTTCTGCAGAAACGCGTATCTTCCGAGTAGAAAGGAGAAATACAACCGGAGACCAAAGCACAAAGTTCGCGTACTCCACTCCCAAGTGACACTTGACGTACTCACGGCGGCGAGGATGGCGATGTTGTTGTTCTGCGTTACGACGCCGTCTAGACTCGAGACACTACGTTTCACCAAAACGTCACTGTCTACATATGAGTCTTCACGACGTCAAAACGCAGAACATAATCATTCCACGCCTAATTAAAAAAACTCATTTCTGTTTGTTATTATATTTCCCATGTATTTATATTTTTAAACATCATGACTTTGTTGACGATTGTAGATTCATATTACTTGTTATATTTCCTTGTAGTTACTATTAATATAATTTCTTATATTTCCACCAAAACGATTCCCCGTCCATCACTTCTCGCCAGATGTCTGAAGGAACCATTCCTTCAGAATTAAATTTTAATTAGAACAGGACAAAGGAAATGCCAAAGAAAAAACAAAATATGTGTTTTAAAAGTTATTAATTTGCCTACAATTCAATGATTGCATTCACATGACAGATATAAAATGTCTTTTAGTCTAAAAAAAAATGACGAACTTCAGAGATTTCAATTACAGTCTTCCTTCTAATCATTCAGAACGGATTATGAAGAACGTTTAAAATTAAAATGAAACACGCTGTGACGCGAAATGCAGCTGGGCGGGGCAAGTGAAGAGTGAAAGGTCAAAAGTTCGCAGTCAATTTTACACAATTTATGTATCCTAAACACACATTTCCAATAAGCTGTCTGTTGTCATTTAGAGAATGAATACACGATATTTTAATGGGATTTAACGTGATTAGTTCAGCGAATGTAATTAACATGTTATCTCTAAAATTACTACAAATTTACGCCTTATAATTACTGTACGTGTGTTGCATAGCCAATAATTTACGTAATTTCCCTGTTCCATGTTATTTTCATCAACACTGCAAGCCTATGTATCACATATTATATGAGCACCATCTTCAGATGTCACTAGCTCAGCTGAGCACAAAATTCCTCTTTTATCGAACCCGAAGGTTCAATGCAGTGTTCACAAAAATGACCATTCGCTCCTCTTCTGAGCTAGATAAATCCAATTCAAATCACCATAACTTATTTTAAAGATTCATTTTAATATTATCCTCCTACTTAAAAGTAAGGCCTCTTCCCTTCAGGTTTTTCGACAAACATTTTGTGTAATCCTATATTTTTCGTATCTCGCAACTTTCTCGTCCCTCTAATATTATTTGCGAACTGTAGAAATTATGAAACTGATTATACAATTTTCTTCATCCCACTATTTCTCCTCAGCAGCCCGTTCTCAAACACCCTCAATCTACGTTCTTCCCTTAATGTGAAGGCTTAAATTTCACGCCCACACAAACAATGCACACAGTTATAGAAGAAGGAGACGGTATATATCTCCGAAACGTTGGCACGCTGCCTCCTGATGATGGAAGCAGCGGAGATTAAGTTCCGTGCATTCTCGGCACGAGAGAGAGAGAGTAGGCAGCACAAACTCCGGTCGACTTTATCCTCACAGAAAGTATCCTGTACTCATTGTGTGGATGGCTGTGAAAGTCAGTCGCGTTCTCGATTTAGCAGCCAATACAACCGTTTCTATAACGTGAATCGAACTTCGTTAATCCATACCCTGAACGTCATTGACAGTCTGTTCGTCTCCGCAAAAATAAATGCTTTCGTTTGTTTTTCATATTGGTAGACTTTCGTTGTATGATCCAGCGTCATACGAGGTGCGATCGGAAAGTTTCTAGACTGCGCCTATTTAAAAAAAACCCGTACACTTATCTCAGGTATTAAATTCATCCATCACCCTCGAAGTAGTTCCCCTGGGAGTGAACACAACGATCCCAGCGCCGCTGCCAAGCCTGGAAGCATCCCGGGAAATCTTTCTTTGTCAGCCTGTCAAGCACCATCTGCGATTCTGCCTGAATCTCTTCTATCGCCTCAAATCTCCTTCCCTTTAGCTGCATTTTCATCTTTGGGAAGAGGAAGAAGTCACACGGAGCTAAATCCGGCGAATAAGGAGGGTGCGGGATGACGGCCATGGTGTTTGAGGCCAAAAACTGCCGAACTTTGAAGGCGGTGTGCGCTGGTGCGTTGTCATGATGCGTCGCATGTGGAGTTCTTCCTTTAGAATCAGCTCACAGGTCCCATAGCCTATCCCAACAATGTCGCACAAGTCGTTGATGGTACGACGTCGAGCTTCGTAACATTTTCGGGCGTTGTGCTCGAAGATTGGCAAAATTTGATTTGTTCATGAAAATCCGCCATTCCGAAATCGCAGGAGGGTCGGTGTAATGCACTACCAAAACGCCCGTAACTAAGAAACAAATGCTAATTCGATGATGCCGGCTGGCACACTGATTCACTATGAATGTAGGCCGCACCCCCTAACGGCAGAAGCTCGTACTGCATCCGGTTCGCCCGCTATTGACACAGTCTGGAAACTTTACGATCGCACCTCGTATGTTAACAGTCGCTATCACAGAGATTACTGTTACTACTATTATTGGTGGTACTGTTATGATTATTATTCTCAACTGTAACAGAAGAACGTTAAAAAAATTTCTTAGATGCTGCATCTTTACGTACGCTGACACGGCTTAAAATCGATTACACAAGAATGTTTAGTTTCAGCCCCATCTTCATCGTTCGGAAATGACTTCTGCGTGTCAATTGCTATGGGAACGGCGGATAACCGACTTTGCTTCCGGATTAAATAAGTCAATAACAGCTCAATTGATTTTTGCACTGCGGCAGGCTGTTGGTCTAAGTAATCTTTACTTCACACGGCATCTTCTTCGCTTCACCAAACTCTTCAAGAATTCTAAGTTATTATTATGATTAAGTGTTATACGTATTCTATCTAGTATTTGGGAGGTTTCCGGCTGGAATTTTGGCCTGTATATCGACTATCCCAAAATTTTCCACAATCCCTCCAAGCAAATGTCGAACTAAACCTTAAAAATTGCTTCATTCCACATCAATCACCATCCTGTAATTTATCATCCGTTATACAACCCTTGAAATTGACTTAGCATCGTTAAATAATCATTAAATACCAGACGCGGGATAACCACTAGACCTCACTTACTGAGCTAGGTGCTAGACAACTGGGGTTCCATTCCCGGCAGAGACAGACATTTTTCTCCTCGCAACGTCAAGAATGGCTCTGGGGTCCACCAAGCCTCCTCACCAAT